TTCTCTACCTCCAGCCTGCTATCTCCCAATGTCATGTCCACTCTTATTTTCCTTTGTTTATGGCCTATCAAGTCTAATTCCTGTCCCCCAAATCCTTTGGGGCATGGGTCTATCCTTTGGGGTGTGGTCAACCTACCAGGCCTCATACCCTTAAAGAAAACTGACTCCCTTTTCAAGTAGCTATCAATTGCCAATAGATCCTTAGCTAGGGCTGGGGCTTGTTGCCCACCTACCTTCATACAATGTATTTTGATTATATTTACCCTTCCTCCCCAAATCTCCCTGGTCCACTCCACCTTTCCCGCCATCCAAATTTGTGTCCTCTTTTTTTTAAACCTATCGAGCCTTGTTTGTGCTATCCTTATCCTTATGGGTGTGTTACCATCCACTGACTCTCCCTCTGCCAGCAGCCATCAATTTCCAATAGTTCTTGAACTATGAATGAGAGGTTTTTATTTATTTATTTCTATCCAGTCAAGCTTAGTGCTTGACTTAACCAGAGTGTCTGTGAGAATCTGGGACAGAACTGAAAGACAGGTTTCCAGAATTCCTGCTTTCTAGTTCACAAGACTCACCCACAAAGCTCCCCACGGTCCAGCCACCAGCCCAAGCCCTGTGCTGTCTGGCCTCTTGTTAGAATAAAACCCATCTATTTGGGGCAGATGGTAACTCAAGGTTTAGGGATAGACTCACCCACTTGCGCCCAGGTCCTCTGGACTAGAAAGAACCCTGGAAAGAAAGGCTCCTGTTAGATGATCCATATCTTTACAAAGTCAGTCTCTTCTGCCCCTGTCAGGCTGTGAGTTTCCGCAGCCAGAGTCTGGTGGGCGAAGAGAGCTGAGCTCACAGTGTGCAGTCCTCTGTGGAATCTGGGTGACTGGCTGTGTGCTGAGCCTGATTCCCAAGCTGATATTTCCACCCTTGTGTCCCACACCCTTCATTCCCAGCAGGACTCACCAGGACATACCAGGCTGAGGAGTGTCAGTAGCATGGTGCTGCTTGAGCTGACAGGAGACAGAGCCCCAGCAAAGCACACAGGATGTCTGAGGCCCCCAGCTCACCTACATGACCACAGCACGTGAAGCCAACTAACAGAGAGGTCCCTTTATACCATGGCCTTAGAGGGACATGGCTTCCTGGAAGCTGTTCAGACTTTGGCCCTTGCATCCACAACATCACTACATCTGGATGACATTTTGGACCCAATTTCCTTTCATTAAAAATGATGAAGTTTGGTAACTGCACTAAAATGTTTGATATATTGTTGTATTTAATCTGAGAGTCAGTTGTTCTTCATGCATTCTATATAAAATATCAAAGGAATAGTGTTGCTAGTATAACAGCAACCCTAATGTGTCAATCAAAATTATTTTCTGTGCTGTGTTCTGGATAATTTCTTTTCAAATTGACACAAACTAGAATCATCTGGGGGACAGGAACCTCAGCAGAGGAATTTCCCCCATCAGATTAGTCTGTGGACATGTCCATGGGGGCATTTTCTTGATAGCTAATCAATGGAGTTGTAAGCTAAAATGAACAAGTTTGTTTGGTTAGTGTTTTATCACAGCAATAAAAAGCAAACTAGAACATGCTTGTATTGATCTAGCATTAGGTTATAATTTCTTAGCTGACTGATGGTGTAGTTATTTAAAATAATAAAATTCCAGTTCATTTTTTTTTGCTTGTTTGTTTGGTTTTTGAGACAGGGTCTCCCTGCAGCCCCAGCTGGCCTGAAACTCACCATATTGACCAGGCTGGTGTTGCTCTCCAGAGACTGGCTTGATTCTGCCTCTGGAGTGCTGGGATTAAAGGTGTACCCAGTATGCCAGGCTCCAATTCTTTCTCCTCCCTCCCTCC